AAAGCATTGCCCGCTAACCCCCTCTCTTGACATGGTAGAGTCATCGTCTGGCTGCGGGTGGTCAAGACTTGGGTTTTTAGAGTGATAGCCTGTAGTCATGAAAAATGCAAAATAATAACGTCCAAAATATGCTTCAATGGACATTAATACACACTTTTCTAACAAGGGAATGAACATATGTGTTTCTACAATCATACGCAGTTGTCCAACAAATGAATACTTACTTTCAGCAGAGCAGTCTCGTAGATGCTATGCTTCTCCAACATCGTAGGGAGCAACGATAGAGCATTTCGCATCACTGAGCTCTAAAGGATGGCGGTGTCGTATTGCCGATGGTTGCTTGCTCTGAACGGCCTCTTGCACGTGGCGGTGTGCGCGTGTTCAAATAGGCTTGTGCAATACTCCCGAGGAAGGCCTCCCTGGCGGATGGCATCCGGGAAGTGGAGCAGCAGGTGTACCTTCACCAATTTCCAGCCATTACCGCCCCGAGGGAGGTTGCTATTGAGCAAGCGGATGAGCCTAAAAAGGAAACAAGTCGGAAACAGGAAGGCAGAACATTTTCCAATCATTGAAGAGGTCAACATATTTCACATATTTTCATTACAGTTTTCATAGCACTGAAACAGGCGCATCTAGATCTTACTCTTGGGTATCCTTAATGTATTGCGTCAGCATTGCCTCGGTGTATGACTTTGCCCGAAAGTACACGTCAAACCAGTTGACAAAGAACCGTAGGATGTACAGCGCCGCACTTCCAACCAGGTTTTCCATGATGAACACCACTACCTGCAGATCAAGTGTAACAAGAATAGAAGGGAGAATTCTCATTACGCATAGAGGGGTTGCATCACCCTATTTGGGACGCTTGTGTTAAAGAGAACAGAGTTGATGCAGAATCATCGTTGTACCGAGCCATGTACTAGTTGTCAACATGTCAAACGTTAAACTACTTACTCGCAGCATTGCAGCATGATCGGCTGCTGAAAAGTTGGCACCAAGACTGAAGTACCGTCCTGGAGGTGGAAGTGGAATGCCTGCCGCTCTAGCTTCTCTGTAAAGGTCCCTGTGTCTCCTGTAACGTTATCGCACACAGAAAGTTTGAGAGGGGTGTAACAGGAATATATGGTGATACACAGAGCTGCAATTCCACCTCACCCACTCATTCATGATCTTTATGTTCTTGTTATGCCATACTAGAGCCTCCAGAATGTACACCCAGATCCCAATGAGGATGACATGAAGTACATCGGGTGAGATGACCTTGTAGGGATTACCCCAGTTGGTTTTCCCGTCCTGCTGTCTTCCAAAATGCCACAAGAAGCTCTGGAACGGGTCACACGAACAACATACTAACCGTTTGTAAATACACGGCACAAACAATTGCAACATACGTTCAACACATTCAATCATGTAAAAAGGAGAATGTTGGACAGCTCGCTAACACTGCATTTACAATATGAAAAGGCATGCGCTAAGTTTACACTCACGTCCATCATGACTGTAGAGTACTCCTTTGCGAGTTTCGGGTCCTTCGCATATATAGACTGCCTCTCGACATCCCGGTTGTCAATGATGTCCGGATCCATGTGATCCAACTTTGACTTCTCCACATAGCATATTGAGCAAGGTCTTGCGGAGTTGTGTTGCATAGTGCAGGTCACTTTACACGTCTCTGGATAATCTGCAACGTATTGGAAGAGCTTGGGCCACACGGTGAACACCTTGCCATTGGGGTCCGTTAAGGGCAATGATTTGCACCGCACGAACACATAAATTTTAGATATCTAACCACATACATACAAGGAGACAACACAAGGGTGTAAAACGTACGTCTTGCACAGCCCACTGAGGCCTTTGAAAACAACATCACAAGATTTCTGAAACAACTCCACCTTCTGCCATGCCTCCATTTCTGGATCAGGTTGTGGCAGAAGTGCGATGAGGGCGTGACCATGATCCTTCCATCGTGTCTCGACGGGGAGATTGGCAAACGTCAAGTACACCGGCCAAGCCCGGCAGCGCTCGTTCCCACTAAGTGTGGTCTCATCGCTCGAAAGAATGAGCGGACACACACACTCAGTCGGACTCTTCCCTTGCTGGGGTGGGAACACAATAAGAAAGGTTAGACAACACATTAGGTTTTTGTTCATCATGCACACATAACATCTACGCACTAAGAACCCAAGGGACATATGTACCTGAGCTCCCAGCCAAAAATTCCCCGTGTTTGCCCCTTCATACACACGACCCTCATTCGTTATTTTGACGTGTGGCTTGTGGATGAAGCCTGGAGCATTGCGCATGTTCCCCCACATTCTTTCCAGGGCCTGCAACATGGGAAAGATTAAGAGAATGATCAGTCAAACACACAATGGAATGGTCCGACTGCGTGTGTGTGTCCATCATGAAACTGTGTGTGTGAGTCTATCATCAATTCTGATCAATAATACCTGCTTGATGTCGACACTCTTGACGGTGAAGCTGGATGGCCACCCTCGAACCGAGATGAGGTGCGACTGAAACTGAAGCTTGTTGATTCCAAGCATCTGCATGCCGTAAGCATCTACAGCGGCCTTAGTTGACCATCCTAGCAATTTCGATGGATCGAAGTCCGGATCTTTAACTAGTCTAAAGAAATAACTAGTGTCGGGAGCGCTAGCGCCCGTCCCTTTGTTACACGACTGCAAGAACCTAAATGTCTCTAAACGGGTGTTAAACTTCCTAGGCTCCTCCTCCTCCCCAAACTCGGCTTGGGCATCATGGAAGTCGTCTATTTCGATGCAATCATCCCCAACTACAGGCTCTGCCTCTAACGGTGCAGATTGCGCCCCAAACACGAATGGTAACGGTGGTGGTAGGTATACAGGCTGCAAAGGAGGGACTAGAATTCCCCTACGAGTCGGCGGAGTTTCAAACGCATTCCTCTCCTGAATTGCTAAACACTCCTGATTGCACCGCTCGTGATTCACTAGAGCTAGGTCGCACTTGTATTTTTTACCACAATGACGACACACGAAGATATCCATCTTGGGGCTCTGGGATCTGCGAGAATAACCCAAAAACAAGTCCGTTACTCAACATCAGACGTGGTGTTGGGCATACATTGATGAAAGGATGACAAGGCAGAGACTCACCAAAGCCACAAGCCTTATGTCGTCATAGATATGAGCACGACGTCTATCCAAGTCTGCACGAGTGGACCTTGTGGCAGCAGAAGCCTACAAAATTCACTAGACAAAAGATTCAACATTGACACTCGTATATGCACTTTGAAAACAACAAAATGATTCACACAGGCAAAAGCTTACATGGAAACGCAGTAGTCCATCTCGGACCTGCCGCCAGAGGCTAAGATCTCTCCGATGTAATGGCACATTCACACTAGTCAGGTACACTGGCCACTGGAGGCGTGGGGAAGCCAACAGAGACAGCAATGTCTCCCAGCGCCACTAACAACAAAGGCCATAGCCTCCAATTTGAATGTGGTACTGGCAGCGAGACGCTCCACACCACCCGTGAGGCCTCCTCGGGCTCAACCAGCGGCGGCATGTCGTCATCGAGTTCATTACCTGTTGAAACAACCTCCGACTCCACTCTGCATTAAATCACAATGCAACAATTTGGAGAGTGATTGTTATACACATAAATAAAACAGTTAAGGCACATATGACCTGACTTGGATTAGCTTGTACAACAACAAACCCAACTCCCGGCGATTACTCACATGTATTGGGCAGGGTCGACCATGTGTAGCGCGGGACGAGCCTGCCCGGCACTCGTCAGGATACTTGTGTAGTAGCTTCGCTCAGAATGGGATCCTGCATGAGAAAAAATCGTAGCAGTTGGTTAGAACATGGATGGGGATGGCAAAGTTCGTTGGATGGCAAGAGACCGGCGGTCAGATGACGGGAGAGGGAAACAGGAATAGAATGGGGTTAGGAAAGATGCGGGTTTGGCAAACGTCGGGTATTGGGATGGAAAAAGAGAGGCGCCAGTCAAGGGTGGTTTGTCACCCGCGAGGAATATGCGAGTGGGGATGGTAAGGGAGAGAGTGGGTAGGATGGTAAGGGAGAGAGTGGGTGGGGATGGTAAGGGAGAGAGTGGGTGAGGATGGTTAGGGAGAGAGTGGGTGGGGATGGTTAAGGAGAGAGTGGGTGGGGATGGTAAGGGAGAGAGTGGGTGGGGATGGTAAGGGAGAGAGTGGGTGGGGATGCTTGCCAATCAACTCTCTCGATGCGCTGCTCTTGAGTCGAGATAGGCCGAGGGTTCATTGATCAGATAGATGTCGGCAGGCTGGAGAAACGAGAAAGTGGAAGAGGGGGAGAAAGGGAAAAAAGGGAAGGATGAACCGCTTGATGACCGTGGCTGCCACAATGCGCTGCTCTTGAGTCGAGATAGGCCGATGGATCGTCAATGAGGTAGATGCCACCAAGGCAGAGGGAAATAGCAACGCACCTTCCCAAAGCAGAGGAAAATAGCCACGCACCTTCCCAAGGCAGAGGGAAATAGCCACGCACCTTCCCAAGGCAGAGGGAAATAGACACGCACCTTCCCAAGGCAGAAGGAAATAGCCACGCACTTTCCAAGGCAAAGGGAAATAGCCACGCACCTTCCCAAGGCAGAGGGGAATAGCCACGCACCTTCCAAGGCAGAGGGAAATAGCCACGCACCTTCCCAGAGTGGAGGGAAATAGACACGCACCTTCCCAAGGCAGAGGGAAATAGCCACGCACCTTCCCAAGGTAGAGAGAAATAGCCACGCACCTTCCCAAGGCAGAGCGAAATAGCCACGCACCTTCCCAAAACAGAGGGAAATAGCGACGCACCTTCCCAAGGCAGAGGGAAATAGCCACGCGCTGCAACTCTCCTCCTGACAAATTCACCACCTCCTGGTCGAGTAGGGGGTCGATCTGCATGAGACAACTTCTGAGCCGCCCCAAAACCGTCCCAAAACCGCCCCAAAACCACCCCAAACCCGCCCCAAAACCGCCTCAGGCCACCTTAAAATCCCAAGAGGGACTTGATGCACCCCTTCCTTACCTTGCCAAGGCACAGCGTGATGGCCACGCGCTGCAGCTCCCCTCCTGAGATTTTCACCACCTCCTGGTGGAGCAGGGGGTCGATCTGCATGGGGCAACTTCTGAGCCGCCCCAGAACCGCTCCAAACCACCTTGAACCGCCGCAGTCTCAAAGAGAGAGTTGACCAACCCACCCACTCCTTCCTTACGTTTCCCAGACAAAGGGTAATAGCCACGTGCTGCAGCTCCCCACCAGACAAATTCACGACCTCCTGGTCCAGGAGCGGGTCGATCTGCATGGGGCGCAGCACGTCGGTGTTGAACCGCGGGTGGTGGAACGAGTCGCGGATCTTGGAGTGCAGCAGCGCGCGCACGCTGTGGGGGAGCTTGGGGGAGATCTTCTGCGGCTTGTACGACACGTTGAACTCCGGGAGGTCCTCGGCCTCCTTGCCGGTCTCCTCGTCCAGGTCAGCCTTTAAGAGACCAGCCTGTAAGCGGTTGAGAAGGACACAGGAGAGCGGAAAGGAGAGGAACGAGAGGGTATGAGAGGGGGAACTTGCGGCTGATCTTCTGCGGCTTGTACGACACGTTGAACTCCGGGAGGTCCTCAGCTTCTTTCCCGGTCTCCTCGTCTGGATGTGTCTTCAAGAGGCCGGCCTGGAGGGGTTCAGAACGAGACAGGAGAGGAGAGGGGAGGAGGGAGGAGAGTAACGCAGAAAACTTGGGGCTAGGCTGGTCTTTTGCCGCCTGTACGACACACTGGAATCCGAGAGATCTTCGGCTTCCTTGCCGGTTGATTCGTCCGGGTCGGCCTTTAACAGCCCAGCCTGCGTGATATAGGGGAGAAGGGAGACAAGACACGGGGGATCGAAGAGGAAAGGGAAGAAAAGGGGACGGAGAATGAGTATGGGAAGGGAAACTTGGGGCTGGGCTGATCTTCTGCGGCTTGTACGGCACGTTGAGCTGCTCGGGCTGGTCTTCTGGGCTGCTCGGGAAGACCTTCGGCCTCCTTACCGGTTTCCTCGTCTGGTTCCGACCCGCCTGGAAGGGAGAGAGGAGGGATGGAAGTTGGATTATGGAAGGGACAGGGAGCAGAGAGAGCCAAAGAGATGTGCAAGCTGGCGATACTGGGCAACGCGGAAACGGGAAACGGGAAGGAAACGGGAAGGAAACGGGAAACGGGAAGGAAACGGGAAGGAAATGGGAAACGAAAAACGAGAAGGAAACGGGAATTTAGGAGCCAAAGACTGGCCCAACCGGTATGCATATGACACGACAGTCGGCCTATTTGCTCTTCGGAAGCATGTGGCATGGTAGGGGCACATGCGAGTTGGGCTACCCGCCTACCTGCCTACCAGCAGCCATGCACAGGTGAGAGAGCTGGCCTACCAGCACGCGCACACATGAGAGACAGCTTCCCTACCAGCTTCTCCCCAGCATCACCACAATCTGCGAGTCTGTGCCTTGCATCCACTGCCACCCCTACCTATGGTGCACACATGTGCCTGCCTACCAGCATGCTGATGAGAGCTTTCCTACCAGCAAGCATGTCCACGCGAGAGAGAGTTGATTGGCCTACCAGCAAGCATGTCCACGCGAGAGTGGGTGGGGATGGTAAGGGAGACTGGTGTTTGACACCCTAAACGTCCGAGATCTGGGCGTGCAAGGGCTACGTCACCGTGAAACGAACGGGCGCACGGGGGCCTGACGCGCTAAGATCCAGCGCAGATCCGCGTTACCGCACCGAACGCCTTCTGTTGCCGCGCAGATCGCCGCCTGTTGCCGACAGTAATCCGGCCATCCCCGCCCAGATCAGCGCGGCAGTTGCCGCCCGGATCGCCTCCCGGTATCGCCCAGAAAGCCAGCTTGTTCCGCCCAGATCCGCGCGACCTATCGTTAGATCCCCCGTCCGTCTTTGTGCCGCACAGCAAGATCTGTGCTCAAATTCGCGTGAGGCAGGGTAGGCAATGGCAGGGAGCACGGGACTTAAAGGTATGTTAATGTGTAGAGATCGGCAGGAGCAGACGAAACTGATTGCTGCCGCACGTCAATATTCGGGATAGATTCGCACGTGGGGCTAGAAAATCGGGACATTGAGAGTGCTGTACAGAGACACGGAAATCTGCTGGAAACAGGAACAAACACTAGGCGGAATGCCTCACGGACTGATCATGGTGAATCATCAATGTGAGTGTGAGACGAATGGGAATAGGGAACACACGTGGGGAACATAAGTACCCAGGCGTGAAATCGTGTGTGCAGATTGCCCGTGCCGCTCGTTTCCGTACCTGCTATTTACTTTCGACGAAAAGACTCAGGGTGCGCCCGCATTCGTCGCTTGGACACTTTGTTGGCGCTACACTACAGAGGTTACGGGATCACTGAGAAGCTCAAGAAAACAGAGAATACAATTCGATAACGGAGAAAACTAGAGAGCTAGGCATGCAAATGAGAGGAACCATGGGAGAGGAAGAGAAGGTTGGAGAAGATGTGGCATTGCCACTCACCACACTTCTTGCCAACAGGTTGATGGCCAGAACAGGACAACAGTCAAGTTGTTTCCACATGAGCCAAGGTTAGCATAGAATTCCACTTGGCAGCATTCCATTTATTGATGCCACCCATCCCCCCCACTAGACCTACGGGTGCATGTTGTCATTGTTCTCTAGAGCTCCAAACCACTACTATGCTACAGTATTGCTCCCCACCAACACACCAAGGACATCCAACAAAGGACAACAAGACCACCACAAATAACAAAAACAACACCTCATACAACAACAACACCACAACTAGACCTAGGGGTGCATGTTGTCATTGTTCTCTAGAGCTCCAAACCACTACTATGCTACAGTATTGCTCCCCACAAACACACCAAGGACATCAACAAAGGACAACAAGACCACCACAAAGAACAAAAACATCACCTCATACAACAACAACACCACAATTAGACCTAGTGGTGCTTGTTGTCATTGTTATCTATAGCTCCAAACCACTACTATGAAACAGTATTGCTCCCCTACCACACACCAAGGACATCCAATAAAGGACAACAAGACCACCACAAAGAACAAAAAAAAACACCCCACACAACAACAAGACCACAACTAGACCTAGTGGTGCATGTTGTCATTGTTCTCTAGAGCTCCAAACCACTACTATGAAACAGTTTTGCTGGAGTCTAACACACCAAGGACCTCCAACAAAGGACAACCACACCATCACAAAGGACAACATCAACACCACATGGAACAATAACAAGAATGTATCGTCATTATTGTTGAATTCAAGGACCAAGAACAATATCCCCACACATTAAAATCTGATTGGTTAATGTTGATATTGAATCCACTCTAAAAAAAATGCATATGCTAAACATGTTAGAATGTCAAACACTAACTATCTCTTCATGGTTACCTTTGTAACTTTGCCTACCCTTGGTCGATTGCCTTGTTTTATTTTTTTGCAAAATGTGACACGTTGTATAACATACTCTCACGGGCAGAAAATGAACCTGCTATAACATGTGTATGGGATCCATGCTTTAAAATACGTGTGCGACAATCACCTGGACGGCATTCGACAACACTTGTTCGCTCGCTGCCTGTCCTTGCACAGTTCCCTTTATAGCTTTGTTGTGGCCAGCGACAAAGCCTCACACGTTGTCCGAATGACTCGATACGAGGAAGGTAGCCTTGTAAGATCACGTGTAAGGGATCCATGCGCTCAAATACGTGCGCGAGAATCACCGAGACGCCATTCCACAACACTCGTTCGCTCCCTGCCTGTCAATGCACGGTTCCCTGTATAGCTTTGTTTTGCGCAGCGACGAAGCCTCTCACGTTGTCCGAATGACACGATACGTGGATGGTAGCCTTGTGAGAGCATGTTTAAGGGATCCATGCTCTCAAATACGTGTGCGCCAATCACCGGGACGGCAAACTCCCTCCAGTCGTGCGTTCCCAGCCTGTCCATGCACGGTTCCATGTATAGCTTTGTTCTGCACAGCCACGAAGCCTCTCACGTTGTCCGAATGACTCGATACGAGGATGATATCCTTGTTAGAGCACGTGTAATGGATCCACGTGCTCAAATACGTGTGCGACAATCACCGGGACGTCATTCGACAACACTTGTTCGCTCGCTGCCTGTCCTTGCACGGTTCCCTTTATAACTTTGTTGTGGCCAGCGACGAAGCCTCACACGTTGTCCGAATGACTCGATACAAGGATGGTAGCCTTGTAAGATCACGTGTAAGGGATCCATGCGCCCAAATACGTGCGCGAGAATCACCGGGACGCCATTCCACAACACTCGTTCGCTCCCTGCCTGTCAATGCATGGTTTCCTGTATAGCTTTGTTTTGCGCAGCGACGAAGCCTCTCATGTTGTCCGAATGACACGAAACGTGGATGGTAGCCTTGAAAGATCACGTGTAAGGGATCCATGCGCTCAAATCAGTGCGCGGGAATCACCGGGATGCCATTCCACAACACTCGTTCGCTCCCAACCTGTCAATGCACGGTTCCCTGTATAGCTTTGTTTTACGCAGCGACGAAGCCTCTCACGTTGTCCGAGTGACACGATACGTGGATTGTAGCCTTGTGAGAGCATGTGTAAGGGATCCATGCTCTCAAATACGTGTGCGCCAATTACCGGGACGGCATTCGACACCACTCGTGCGTTCCCAGCCTGTCCTTGCACGGTTCCCTGTATAGCTTTGTTCTGCACAGCGACGAAGCCTCTCACGATGTCTGAATGACTCGATACGAGGATGATATCCTTGTTAGAGCACGTGTAATGGATCCACGTGCTCAAATATGTGTGCGAAAATCACCGGGACGTCATTCGACAACACTTGTTCGCTCGCTGCCTGTCCTTGCACGGTTCCCTTTATAGCTTTGTTGTGGCCAGCGACGAAGCCTCACAAGTTGTCCGAATGACTCGATACAAGGATGGTAGCCTTGTAAGATCACGTGTAAGGGATCTGAGAAGAATTGAACAAGAAAAATGATTTGACTATGAACGAAGTGAGTACAAATAGGAAACCCTAATTGGGTTGTACCCCCTATGGGATACCCCACTATAGCCTACACATATAAGTAAGCTATAATGTTCTGACACACCCCCATAGGCAAAGTGGGGGAGAACAAGGGGTCACAAGATCAGTCAAGCAAAACAAGGCAAAGCTCAGGGTGGATCACAAAGTCACCACACATTCCGAGCACAAGTTCAAGGGCCAGAAGGCCAGTTCATATGCAAGATCACATATATAGATATACAAGAGTCTAAGCAAGCAAGAGCAAGAGCATATATATGTGAAATTACAAGCAAGGTCAAGAGGTGAGCAAGTGAGGCAAGACACGCACAAGACCCAGCTGCGTGCAGAAGCACTGATGATCACAAGGCGCAAGTGCCTTGGTGAAGACATCAGCAGTGTTGGCCTCAGAGGCCACGTACGCAAGTCGCAACTGTCCACGCTGCTGTAGCTCACGAGCAAGAAAGTAGCGGAGAGCAATGTGCTTTGTCCTGTGCTCCAGTCGCTGCTCTCGACACAAGGCCAGCATGGCCTTGTTGTCTACGTACAGGACTGGAGGAGAACTAGGCGGCTCTCCAAGGTCGGTCAGCAGGTAGGTGAGCCAGCGAAGCTCCTGAGTAGCCATAGCCCCGGCGTAGATCTCAGCCTCACAACTGGAGCTGAGAACAGAAGACGAGCGGGTAGCCCGCCACGAAACAGAGCCGGAACCAAGGCTGAAGGTGTAACCCTGTGACGACCGCTGCGTAGCCTGGTCGTCAGCCCACGAAGCGTCTGCGTGCCCAGTGAGGACCACTGGACTGCGCCCTCCAAGCACTAGCCCCATGCCCGACGTACTGCACAAGTAGCGCAACACCATCTTTGCTGCAGCCATGTGCTCTGGTCGGTGTCTCCCAGGAGCAACATAGCGTGCGAGAATGCTAAGAGGGTATGCAAGGTCAGGTCGTGTGCAGGTCATCAGGTACATGAGGCAGCCAACAAGCTCTGCATACGGACCACTCGACTCTACGGACTCATCCGAAGGCAGAGCTGAGAGCGAGTGGCGAGTAGGTAGAGGAGTGGCCCGAGGCGAGGAGTACGTGAAGCCAAAGCGCTGAAGGACCTGCTGCACCATGTGTGACTGAGTCAGGGTAATGGTGCGGCGTGCTCTGTCCCGGGTGATCTGCAAGCCAAGGTAGCTGCGCAGTTCACCCAGGTCAGTGCACGTGTGTCTCTTCTGTAGCTCGGACTTCACGTAGGCAAGTCCAGCAGTGTCAGCTGTGGCAAAGACCAAGTCGTCGACGTACACAAGGATGTAGAACGGCGGTAGAGAGGTGTCGGTGCGCAGAAACAGCGACGGGTCTGCAGTGGAAGGAGCAAACCCAAGTGCCGCCAACGTAGTCCTCTGTGTCGTGCCACTCACGTGGCGCCTGGCGGAGACCGTAGACTGGACGCCGCAGACTCCACTGGGTACCAGAAGGGAAAGACCCAGTGAAGCCAGGTGGGCGGCGCAGCCAGATCTCCTCGTGCAGGCTGCCCTGCAAGAAAGCAGTGCTGAAGTCGAGAGAGTGCAGCTTGTAGTCACAGTGAGCAGTAACGTGCAGCAGTACCCGAAGAGTGGTCATCTTCAGGGTGGGGGAGAAGGTCTGAAAGTAGTCAACTCCCTGCCGCTGACTGAAGCCACGAGCCACGTAACGCGCCTTGAAGACAGGCGGAGAACCCGGCGGCCGCTTCACCCTGAAGATCCACATGCCACTGACGATGTTCGCCCCAGGAGGGGGGACAGCGTCAACGTAGGTGCCTATGGACTTCCAGGAAGCCATATCTGCATCCATAGCTGCCTGCCACTGAGAGGAGTAGGGACCCTCTATCGCCTCCGCGTAAGAGCGCGGAGTCGGGATGTCAAGTGCATCCGGGTCTCCCTCAGGGGTAAGCAGTACGGACACGAGATGAGGTGAAGCAGCGGCCAGACACTGGAACTCCTCCTGCCTGTCCTCAAGGACGTCCGTGCCAAGGGCACACTCACCCCGACGGACGGAGGACAGACAGACTCAGACTCAGCGACAAGACTAGCAGCGTAGTCTAGACGACAGCGAGCAGCAAAGTCGGCGAGCTCAGTATCAAGGGCAGACGCAGCAGTAGACTCGAAAGAAGGGTCAGTGACGGCAGTAGCAAGGAGACGCGTGACAGTAGGACTGGCAGCACGAAGAGAGTCCGACTCCAGGTCGGCAAGAGAAGGAAGAGAGGAAGCAGGAGGAGAAGGCAAAGGGGCACGCAAAGGAGCAGTAGACGGACGCAGAGACATCCGGTGCGTGCCAGGGACAGGAGGAGGACGCTGACGTGAACCGCGACCACTAGTGCGTGCAGCACGAACAGGCGACGCAGGACGAGACGCAGGCTCACGACGCTCAGTAAGACCTCCAGTCGCACCAGCATAGGGAGAAGGAGCAGGCAAAGGGGAGGCAGGCTGTAGCTGTGGATGTGACTAGACAGGCTGTGGACCCTCTAAGGGAGGAGTAGGAGGACCAGTAGAAGGTGGAAGACCAAGAAC